TAATAATAATAATAATAATAATAATAACAATGACAATAATAATAATTTTAAAAATGTTAAAAATAACATCAAATTTGTACGTGCGTAGACATTTCAATGAGATTTTTAAAAAAGTTTTAGTTTCATAAACAGTTTTACAGCACTTCCAATATGTCAGACGGGTATGAGGGAAGTTGGAAAAGTACTTTTCACAACAAAAACAGCAACAACAACAACAACAGCAACAAAAACAACAACAAAAACAACAACAAAAACAACAAAAACAACAACAACAACAACAACAACAACAACTTACGCCGTCTGCACGACCACTGTGATGGCTGTGCTGGTCATTGGGTGACCCTTGTGGTCAATGCCGTTAGCCTCACACTTGTACTTGCCAACCACATTTTTAGTGGGGTATAGCCACTACGGAGATAAAGGCAAAACAAAACTGTCATTGGTTATACATGTACATTTTGTTTTTCTTTTTCTTTTTTCATCATCTGTATCCGTTAGGCGCCGAGGGGAGATGCACTTTTCTTTTGTGGTGCAGGTCTGGAGCTATTTCAATTGAGATATACATTTTCACGGTTTCCTTGACGCCCTCAATCCATCTTTTTTCGTGGCCTTCCTCTTCCCTTATAACCTGAGTACTTGGTGGTATAGGATCTCGAGGCTGACGGCAAGGTGACATACGTGACATGTTGCCGAACCATTTTACTATTATTTTATCGATGCAATGCAGGTAGATTAGTTCAGGCTAAAGTGAAAAAGAAAAAGGCAGTTGCAAGAAATCTATTTACAGACAAGGCTGTGTTGACTCGCTTAGGAAGTATTACCACAGAATAATATCATGTCCGATCAGCTACAGACAAAATTCAGTGTCTCTGTATGTGGTGCTTACGTTATATTGTAAACCAAATTACGCTAAAATACAAAGCTACCCCACACCCCAACAAACCCCCAACCCCCTAACAAAAACAAAAACAAATCAAAAGAAACACAAGAACAGAGTACCTCTAAGGCGATGAAGGAGTAAGCGTCTGGCTTGTGGTGTCCTGTGACAATGGAGCCCATAGTGTTGGTTTCTTCCACTTTGTTGTGGGAAAACGCCGTAATGGAAGCGACTTCCCTGAAAGAAAAAAACAGGTAAACCAGGTACGTGTAAGTTTATCTGTAAAAGATCAAGGAGAAGACCGCGTGGAACCTGGACCGGAGAAGAATCTCAGAAATTGATGTACAGAAAAGTGAGAAGACAGGGATAAACACCAAGAGGCTAACCAAGGATATAGCAAGGTGGAAAGTGTTTATTTTCGGTCTATCCAGGTGCAATGTTAAAAAGCAATGTTAATAATGCAAATACATGTATATCTGAGTTTACTTATCGCCCCTATCATTGGTTTTAAAACTCCCTTATCAATACTAGTAGGTTATTTAAAAGGCCGGACCTCCAAATAAAACACTTGTCGCATATAAATCCGAGCCAGAGGGGTAGAGAGCTTTGAAAACTCCACAAATCGACCCAAGTTGAAAAACGCCTAGTTTGGGATTTGAATCAGGGGCATCCACTCCGTAGTCCAGCATGCTGCAGAGTGAGCTAGTGGAGCGCTCAAGAAAACAGATTGTCCTGTTCTCGTTTAGATAATGCTCATGTATATTATCATTTACAGCAATCTAGCTCTGCAAAACATACTGCAAACAAAAAAACGTGCTAAAAGATTTATTTTTCATTAAGATTATCTTTACAACACCGCAATCATTAATTTAAATAGCTTAGCTTGCTTCAATATAAGCTGTTGACAATCAACATAACACACAGAGAGTTACACATGCAGAGAGACATGTATAAATAAATAAATATATTATATAATATATATATATATATATATATATATATATATATATATATATATATATATATATATATATATATATAAATATATATATGCGAGGCAGCGTGGTGGAATCAGGCTCTCGTCAATTTTTGAGCATATTGAGTTATTGGTATCATCTTAAAGCTTGTTCATTTGTCTTACTTTCAATTAAAAAATTACCCACCCATCTTCAATAGAAGTGGAGATATTTTGGATTGAAGGAGGTGGGGGTCACCCGGTTTCAGAGGTAAAATTGCGAGAAAATAGCCTCCAAAGCTTGGTAAATTCCAAAGCTGGAGAGTCCATGGAAACTGTAAATTTATATTTTTGTGCCTTTAATCAACGTTTTCGGTGAAATCCTCAAAGGAATGTGTTTGTAAATGGACATAAAAGGTGTTGAGCTAAAAAAAACAAAATTTAGATAAAAATTGCTAAGCAGGGAGAAAACTGCTGTTTTCTTCGATTTCATTATTTTGGCGAGAGCCTGATTCCACCACACTGCCTCACATATAGACAAACGGGAAGGAACATCTCATATCAAGTACATGTATATCTTTTTTTTCAGTCACCACTGGACAGAACCCGGTGTCAACTCTTGCTGATCTGGTTTCCTGAGAAAAACAAACCTGCTTACTGAACATAAACAAATACACAAGCCCAAGTCTGAACCAAAAGAGGTACCTTAGAATTACGAAGTTCTATAATTCGACTTTTCTAGCTGCTTTGAATAACTAAGAAACAAAGCTTGGGGTGTAATGGCCTTCAAAGAGCTTCTCTTGGAAACTGCAAATATTCATTTAAGTGCCTTTAATCAAAGTTTTTCAATAAAATCCACTCACAATTATGTTTTTAAATAGACATAAAAGGTTTTGAACAAATATTTGTGAATAGAAAAAATATCAGAAAAAAGAAAGAAAAACATTTCGAAAAAGATTGCCGAACAGATAGATAGATTCTGATTTCTTTGACAAGATCATTTTGACGAGCGCATGATTTCACCCCGACGACGATGAGACACAATTAGCTAACCTGTAAACAGTATCTGTTGCAGAGTCTGTCTTGTACAAAATAAGGGACACTATTGAGTTGAAGTCCGAGCCGTTCTGGTGTGTGAACGAGCAGTTGATGGTTAGGTGTTCCGTGTAGCCTTCGTGTATCCTGTTATGTGTTGTGATAATCTCCACTCCATCACTTGAGGCAATGTGGGGGGAGCTCAAATCTGCCTCTATAGTAATGGTAATAGTAACAACTATAACAACAGTGTTAACAATTATGATGATAATAATAATCATCATCATCATTATCATCATCATCATTATCATCATCATCCTAATAATAATAATAATAATAATAATAATAATAATAATAATAATAAGAAGAAGAAGAAGAAGAAGAAGAAGAAGAAGAAGAAGAAGAAGAAGAAGAAGAAGAAGAAGAAGAAGAAGAACAACAACAACAACAACAGCGACAGACAGACAGATAGATAGATAAATAGATAGATAGATAGATAGATAGATAGATAGATAGATAGATAGATAGATAGATAGATAGATAGATAGATAGATTGATAGATTGATAGATAGATAGCTCGTCAGCAAGCTCTATGCACTTTACAATATTATTATATAGAAATACATAATGACACGTTTAGCTTAGTTTTAGTAAGCGTTTTATGGCACTTGCAACGCGATTAGGTCAAATAAGCAAGGGTGATTAGAAGTGCTACATGAGAGTAACAAACACGAAAACACAGGGGGAAAGAAAAGGACGATAGATGTTTGATAAAAAAGAAGGAGCGGATACGTAATATGTTAACATTTACATTGTCTGTTCTTACACTAATTCATTAAATGTTTTTAAAGGTTTAACAATCTTAGATAGGTAAAGGTTGGGTAGGGGGGATCTTTTGCGAAAATATAGACGTAGTTTAAATGTAAAAAAACCACCAGACTTTAATTAACGGAAAAGCTATTTTTCTATCACGTTGTGCTAAGAGTCAAAACGGCTTTAATGCTTGGATTGGCGAGAGAGTTTACAGTTTTTACTTAAATTAGATGGCAGTGTATGACAATAATATTATGGAAGGAAAGTCTGTACTTTAGATGCAAAGAGACTCACCAGCAGCAAACGCTGACAGAAGCAGAGAAAAAACTAGGAACCACATCTTGGAGATAAACAGGACTTTTCGTCTTCACGATCCCTACCAGGCAGGCTACGTTTATAATAATGAGCTTTAGTGGGGTAACGTTTTGATTACGGATTTGTTAATTAAGTGGGTTATACACGAAAGTCAGAAAAAAATATAGAACGGACTTAAGCAGATAAGACATTGAATATTAAATTTTGACCCAGTTTGATTTAAAACAAGGAGCTGGCGTCCATTTCTTCCCCGTCATGATGACGCTACTGTCACGTACTATTAGATACGTGAGAGAGAGGACGAAAACCGGGTCATGACGCCGTGGAATCAGGTGCTAGTCAAATTCTGAGCAATAAATAGAATTATTGGTAACATCAAAATGTTTGTTTATTTTTTTCTTTCGATCAAAAACAAAAAGAAAACAATAAGAAACGAACAAAAACGACAAAAAAGACACAACAACAAACAAAAACAAAAACGAGACAAGTAAACAAATCCCATGCATCTTATTTTAATACGATCTATTTGCGACTGAAGACGGTTGGGCCTCCTTGATGTCAGAGGGTAAAATTAGTGTGAAAATGTCCTCCAAAATTTGATGGCTTCCAAACTTGAGTGTCTTGGGAAGCTGCAAATGTACGTGTTTCCTGTGCTTTTGACCAACAGTTTTCAGGAAATAATTCCAAACATAAATGCGTTTTTGATTTACACAAAATATCATTGAGCTCTCCTGATAAATAAATAAGATGAAATTCGATACCAATAACCCAACAGGCAGATAAATGTATGTTTCTACAAATTCATTATTTTGACGAACGTCTGTTTTTAATACAATGCCACAGATGTTTTTCTCCAATAATGAAATCAAAGAAAAAGGCATTTTAACACCAGTTTGGTAAGTTTTATAGACATTTGTGAAGTGTGCTGACAAAATGAGTTACTTGTCAGATTCAAGCCTTAAGGAAATAGATACATCATGCTTATAGGTGAAGTTTTTACAGTTTATAAGTAGGGAATAATAAAAGACAGGTCAGAGTTGGAGAATGTGGCATCAACTGAAAATCTACAAGTTTGACCCTAATGGTGATTTTTGGCCAAAATCTCCATTTGTGGATTGCGAGAAGTAACTCATTTTGTCAGCATGCCTCACATTTTCTTTTTTTGGCTTAACACGTTTTATGTTCATATGAAACAACATTTCCATATGAATTTTACTGAAAAACCTTGTCTAAATGTTCAGATTTCAAGTACATTTTAGTTATTAAAGTCACCAAACTTCGGCGGCTATTTTTTCTCATTAATTTAAAAGGGGGGGGGGGGACACCCACAAAGCCCCTATTCGGCTCAAAATTATGGAATTTGAGTTGTAGGCATTGTTAGCTTCCTCAGTCTCTCCTACAACTATTTCATTGCATAAGAACCCCCCAAAAACCCTTTTTTCCCCATACCGGGCATGTTTATTTCCACCATTTCCTCATAAAGTCAATATTTTATTTTTCTTTACCGACAGTTTTCTCAGAACGCGACATTTCTTTATACTTTTTTGTATAACTCCACCAGTTTTCACCCAATCTTTATGAAATTTTCACAAAATGAAGAGAAGATGTAATGCTAAAATTTGTCTGCTGAATATTTGATGTTTGGAATAGCTTTTTGTTGGTGGTGTCTTGAGTGTGAATTGTCATGGATTTTATATTCCCATCGACACAATTAAATCTTTAATTTTTTATTAAGGGGCCTGTTTCGGACCTTCGTATGAGGAATAATCCAGGTCGAGAGGGATACAGCATCCAAGGAGAAAGATAATCTCTATCTATCTATCTATCTATCTATCTATCTATCTATCTATCTATCTATCTATCTATTCATCTATCTATCTATTCATCCCTTTTCTCTCTCTGTCCCCCTCCCTATCTCTATTTCCTCCATCTTCTCTCTCTATCTCTTTCTCTCTCTCTCTCTTTCTCTCTCTCTCTTTCTCTCTCTCCCCCCCCCTCTCTCTCTCTCTCTCTCTCTCTCTCTCTCTCTCTCTCTCTCTCTCTCTCTCTCTCTCTCTCTCTCCCCACCTCCTTCATGTCCTCATAAGACATCACCAGTATGGGCAGGTCAGGATGTGTCTTCACGACCACGTCCCCGGATTTGTAGAAGTCAAAGTAGGAGCTGTAGTCAACTGGAGGGGAAGGGGTGGGGCAAAAAAGGAGGTGGGTGTGAGAACATAGTTAGTGCGTATATTGAGAGGTGATGAGGATGGGGATAGGGTAATGGGAGGGGGAAAGAGGCGGTAAAACGAGTGGAAGAGGGATGGGATAAAAGGGATAGGGTTTGGATAAGAGGGATAGGGATGGAATAAATCCTAGGGGGGTATCCCGAAAAATGTTGTTTTTAGAAAATTGAAAAAAATTCTGTGCCCCTTGTCCAGTTTCTTTAAAAGACAATTAGAGTTTTCGCTGTAACCAAACAAATATGCACACCAATATAATCAAACTTCCCCTATAGGTAGGGCAATGCCCACTTTTGCTGTAGGTCAAGGTTTCTGGAAACCCACGAAATCTGGGTTAGCCTTCTTGTCCTTAAAAGCGACAAATTATCTTCAGCACGCATATGACCTTAATGTGTAGCATGTTCCGTAAAACTCTTACTACGTGTAAAACTAAACATATCTCTCCTCCTTTTTTATGAGTATTACTGTCTTGTAACACCCCTAATCTTCGGCACTTATATGACCATTTTGTGTTGTAAGTGCCGTAAAACGTGTATCGTAGTCAACCTGTGTGGGCCGATTTGAAGTGATGAATAGGGACAAAGGGAGACAATGACATGTTAATGATGAAATTAAATGAGGAAAGCTAGATTACCTCCCATTTGCAACTTATACAAGATTATATTATTATTACTATTATCGAAGGTACCGGAAGAGAGATAAAATAACAGTGATGCAGTTTTTCGGGACACCTGAAAGTCTTGAACTTCTTGCTGTCACTGGCAAACTAGGAAGGGGTAAGCTAAGAGTAACCTACTTAGGGACCCTAAACAAATGGGTAACGGGGAAAGATAAGGAAAACGTAGCTTTTTTTAAGAGCATCCGAGTAAAGGAATGAATGGAGAACCGTGATCGCTGATGTCTGTCGCAGATCTGGCACTGGATGGTGACCGGTAGTCATTTTACCGTTCCATTGACACAATTTGTAATACATACATACGTACATACATACATACATACATACATACATACATACATACATACATACATACATACATACATACATACATACATACATATATATATACATACATACATACATACATACATACATACATACATACATCCATACATCCATGCATGCATGCATGCATGCATAATAATAATACTAATACTAATAATAATAATACTAATAATAATAATAACAACATTAATAATAATAATAATAATAATAATAATAATAATAATAATAATAATAACAATAATAATAATAATAATAATAATAACAACAACTTTAATAATAATAATAATAATAATAATAATAATAATAATAATAATAATAATAATAATAATAATAATAATAATAATAATGATAATAACACAACAGGCTGAAAAATGCCGGTATCGTCGATTTCATTATTTCGACGAGTACCTGATTTCACGACGATACCTCACTTTTATTCTATTTCTCTCTTATGAAATCATCGACCTAACTTTTACTTCAAACCCTTGAGGATCAAAACTGGTATGAAATCGTCGACCTAACTTTTACTTCAAACCCTCGAGGATCAAAACTGGGAACAAAATGATGAGATTCGAAGATCTCAAAATAAAACATTATATAACCCTTCTTGGTCGGGAGTTTGTGATCCCTAACCCCTGACCCCTGACCCATGGTCCTATTTTTGTAAGAACTAGGTTCTCGTATTTATCTTACAAGGCGGTCCAATGGTC